ATTCTAATTTTATGACCAGCACCTGTAGCTTGCTCACACCAAGGATCTATCCACGTCATCATTTACCCAGAATGCTTTGTGTGTAAATAAAATGGCCCCGTCCGTGTAATTTATTTTTAAGCATTTAGTTTAAAAATGATAACTGAACAGCCTACAGTGTTTTTACAGTCTTTATTTTACAGTTAAGATGTATGTTTATCAAATAAAGTCTAATGTTATAACTAATCATGGATGTCTTTAAACATATAAACAGCATTTTAATAACAACTGAAGGTGACACAGTTACTTTATTATGGTATAGAACTTAAATATACTGTATACCTGAGAACACATAATATTGCCCCTTTAAGTAATCTTTCCACTGGTAGTTTTTCATGACCAAACAGCACGGTTTTATTACCTGTAAGAGACTTGTCCATCTGTTTTTTGTGTTGTTTTTTACGTGTGCTACACAATTTTAAAGAATTTGATTGGATCTATCATTACCACAGCAGATCAGTGCTGTTTTAAGGCCTTAGTTACAGAATTGGATGCTCCTACAAGCTGTATTTATGTTTTGAGATGCGATACATGTTTGTCTCAATCAATAAATTAACCTTTTTTTCCCCTTATTTTTCTCGTTAATGCTTTTTTGGTTCTTCTTGCTTTGTGACATCAGATCAAACTTGCTTCTGAGCATTATTTACTTCTGTGGGTTAAATGAAATATAATTTGTTATCATGTTAACTGAGGTAACTGAATTGTTTCAAACCTGCTAACAACGTGACATGTTTTTTTGGATGAGATCAGCTTTTCATTTGGTTGATATGGTCTAATCCAGGGGTTCTCAAACGTTTTGGGTCTGGGGACCCCTTACAAGGGTAAAAAAAATTTGGGGACCCCCTTATAAAGCCCATGCTGTTTTAAAAATAGTTTGCTGTCATTTTACCTCCTAAATGCCATGAGAATATCATGTTTTTTTGGTTTAGTATGTTTGTTTTACTAGTGTATTCATCTCCATATGTATTTTTTAAAATCAAGAATCAAACAGTTTATTGAAGATTTTTGAGGACCCCCAAGATAGGACTCGCGGATCCCTGAGGGTCCTGGGACCCCAGTTAGAGAACCTCTGGTCTAATCTCATGGTTCTCAAATTGTAATACAAGTACTACTGGTTGTACTCAGGATCTCCACAGTCAAACTCAAAGGAAAATTTGGTGTCAACTATTTACGAGTTCAATAACAAGCTAATGATCATAAAGGACATGCTGTGATGTAAAGATAAACAGCAGGGAGACAAAGGAATATGTGGTTCAAGTGAGTTTTATTCTCTGCTTCAAATATAGACTAAACAGAAATGCAGGGGAGTATATTTCAAGAATCTCTGTGGAAACGGTGGTAAACAATAGAAAACCAATGTGTTGGTGGCTACTGACGCAGCACCTGTAAAGTTTCTACAGTACCTGCCAGCAACAACATGCAAAACTATTAGAAAAGTGTATTTTAGATAATCTCAAACTCACAGTATCAGTTGTTGTGGGGTGAAGACCTCTGTATGTGGTGTCTGTTTTAACAAAGGTATATTAAAGAGCTCAGCCTCTTTAATCAGAGTGGGTTGGGGTTTGTCCAGTTTGATTGTTGTTGTTTTTTTTCTGCTACTGTTTGTCTTAATGTCAAGCATAATAGTGGTACCTGAAGAGCTTAGGTTTTGAGGTTGTTTCTTGTTAAAAAGATCGTGACATTTTTAAATGCTCAAAACTTTAATGTTTTCCATTCGGGAAACAATAAACCATATTTGGCATTTGGGTGTGTGTCTTTAAACAGTTCAGCAATGTATTTGTTTCAGTCACAGTGTTTGAAAGCCCCATTGTTTATTTCACCACTTGTCATTAAGTTTATTAGATTAATGCTTCATCTGTTCCAGTGCCGTTAGTGACTTTTCGCAGGAATATTTGTGAAATGTGTAGTGGTACATTCCAGGATGGTTACAATAACCTGGGCAGCAGTTTCCCTTTTTCAGCACGTCTTCAACCTAAAATAGCTGCTTATTAAAAAAAGAAGATTCCATGACAGAAAAATGCAGGCTGAGGAGGACGAGTGGGGTTTGTGTGTGTGTGTGTGTGGCGAATGAAGTGAGGTGAATGGAACTCATAGGCAGGTCACTCCACATACCAGAGACTCTGCGTCAGTGCTGAGTGCTGAAACAGGAGAAGCTGTAGAGCTGTTACAGGCCCGTCCTGCCACACTTTGGTCTGGTCTGACCCAGTTCAGTGGAAAACCTTTTTTTCCCCCTCCTCCCTCTTCTCCTCCCCCCTACAATGGCAGGAAATACCTCAGTTCCTCCTCATCACTCTGGAGCTTCTCGTGTGGATCTTTAGTGGATTTTCTGGGAGGGGAAATATGTGAGTCACAGTTTGGGAGATGTAGCTGTGGTGGTGTTGGAGGAGGCGGGGCAACGAGAGAGGGAGGTACAGTATATATAAACCAGGGAAAGGGAGAGACCCAGTCACATACAGTGAGAACAGTTCACAGGCATTTCCTGTTTTTCCCTCTTTCCCCCTGCCCTGCAGAGTTGCAGGGCCGGGGGGGGGTGTTGTCGGGGGTATAATGGGCAGGTTACAGAGAAGAATTCATCTGGTGAGCGTCTGAGGCGGTCATTAGGTGTGGGCCAGACTTAGAACCAGGGGTGTCCAAGACAATCCTCAGGGGGGCCACCATCCTGCATGTTTTAGAGGTTTCTCTGCTCCAACACACCTGATTTGAAGGAACGGTTGATTAACAGGCTTTTGCAGAACTTGAAGAATTAGTTCAGTCACTGAATCAAGTGTTGGAGCAGGGAAAAAAGTAAAACACACAGGATAGTAGCTCTCCAAAACCAGGATCAGACACCCCTGTGCAGGGGCGGACTGGGGCAAAAAAGTGGCCCGGGAATTTAGTACCTGACTGGCCCATTCAGGGTCCAGGCTGGCAGATGATGTCTGCAAATGCTGGAGGCAGATGATGGGGGCGGAAATAACAAACGTCATCTCAGGGCACTCTACAAAATCTAAAGATGTAATGTTGAAGGATTAGTAAAGTTTTTAAGATAGCAGAGCAGCAGTTAGCTCGCAGGTATTGACCCTCAGAGTTCCATATGGCCATTTTTGACTCATTTTGACCACTCCCCCCCAAAAAACAAACAAACAAACAAAACATTAATATAATCTAATGTGGTATCATTTTCTTTTTCCAGCACATGAGCTGTGTGAAAAACTTTTTTTTCATTTGAATATACTGTTATTGTATATTAGACCTTAATTTAATAAATAAATAAATAAATAAATAAATAAATAAATAAATAAAGTAAAATTAAATTAAACTCCAAGTAGGCAAAGTTATTCTTGAAACCAACAACCATTTCTGATTTCTATCTTTTAGAATGCCATTGTATGATGTAAATTTCTAAAACTGATGATGTTAAAACATTTTAAGCAACACAGTTTTATAAAATTATCAACTGAGCACAGTTTGGACCTAGTCCACACATGATCATATTTATTTAACAGCTAAATGCATTGTTTTAAAAGTTAGACCTGGTTCCATCTGACAGCATGGTTCTGTTTTCTGAAGCTACAAGAACTCAGGTTTTGGTTTAAAATCAGACTGAAACTTGGACTGCCCAGTGTTTTAGTTTGTCCAGGAGTCTGCAGCCTTTCAATCAAAAGAGCCATTGTTGCTGTTTTTCACCACTAAATAAAATTTACCAAGAACCACAAAAAGCTTTCTACTTGAAGCTTGAAATAAAAACACTTTAGGGGTTCTATACAAACAAAACAAAACAAAAAATGTTTTGACATTATGAAGTTTAAGATCTCTAATGAACTGTTTATATTTATTAGTATTTTTGCAGGTTGGAACAAAAAAAGTCCAACTTTTTTTTTATCTCTGTGGAAAATTAATACAAGTAATTCAATTTCAAATATGAAAACATGCTAAATGGTAAATAATCTGTACATGTAAAGCACCTTTCTATCCAACCAAAGTGCTTTACAACACAATCTGTGTCCTCATTAACTCATTCTCAACACTCCACTAGGTCTCTTTACAAAGCTAATCTAGATAAATGATTGATAAATCAGTGCTTAAATCACATTCATACACTGATGCTGTGATAAACGACTGCCCTAACCACTCAGCCACAGCCGACCCAACCAGAGCCAATTTGGCCAATTCATTTGATATTTTACTGTGACCTAATGCTTCAGGAAAACCTTAATTTGCTTCAAATCATGATGAAAGGCCAGCTGTTAGTTTAAATTCACTGCCTTTGTTGGACTGTACATCATGGAGCCTTGTTTTATCTCTGGTCTTAGAGCCTTTATACCACTGTTGGCTTTATAGCAGTGCTGGATGGACTGCATTATCCACCTGCAGATTTGTTCATTGGCATAATCTAGTTTACATCACAATATTTGGGTTTGCTTCCCCTTTACCTCTTTTCCTATATCCTTAAAAAACACCTCAGGAAGTCATTTTCAGCTCTCAGATGCGTTCATTTTAACTGTACCTAAGGTTTGCACTGATTCTGGTAAAAGTTTCTTCAATTTGGGTTGTTCTCTTTTAATGTTTTTAGGGTCATTCTTAAACAGTTTGTACATGAAACAGTTGTTTGTAAATGTTTTATAACCGATTTTGTATTCTATTTAGTCCTATCTTACCTTTTATGGGTTTTTCTTGTTCTTTTATTTATCACGATGTATTTAATTTTAATTTAATATCTGTAGTTTTGGATTTAGTAATGTCTGTGTAGTGCTGCTATTCTTGGCCATCTCTCCCTTGAAAGAGATTTTTAATCTCAATGAGATCTATCTGGTTAAATAAAGGTTTAATAATAATAATAAAAGCAGGCAAAAAATGACTCTGTTTACTTTCATGTTTTTGACCTGAGACTTTGAGACTTGGCTTAAAAAACAGTGATTTCTGCACTCAGTTGGAACCATTCCACAGTAGTCGATATAAAGATGTCATAGATATGACCGTTTCATTAAAATAATTTAGTGTTCTTGTATTAAATATTCTTTAATAGCTAAATTAATAGCAATAAAAGGTTTCTTTGTTAAAATTTCCGGAACCATTTGAATGTTTCTCTTGTGTCGGTTTGGTCTTAAATYTCATTCCTAATGGTCATAAAAGGTCTTAAATTGAACCTACTGAAACCTGCATGAACCGTGACGATACCATTCTTTTACATAGATGCATTTTTGTAAACATTATTTTAACATGAATCAAACTGCTCCTCAGGGCCCATGGTTTGCCAACCCTGGAGGAAGCAACAGCATGCCCAGCCGGACCCACAGCTCCGTACAGAGGACCCGCTCCCTGCCCGTCCACACCACGCCTCAAACCATGGTTACGTTTCAACAAGCTGGTGAGAAACTAATGCAGATAATAAAAAACATATTTTTTCACATTGCATAACCAAACACAGAATGTTTGCTGTCACTGTCCAGTTAGATAAAAGTTTACGATTGTTTTAATTTTAAGTTCTTGTTTCAGATAAATATTTCATTTTAGGAGTTGATGCAATATCTTTTTTTTCCATTTAATTAACATGTGTATACTGGATGATAACCTTCAGAAATCTATACATCATAAAAAATCTTTAGTACTCATATGGAGGACCGAAACTGACATAAATAAATATAAATGCAGAAATACTATACATACATGGCCCAGTAAATAATTTGATATCACAGGTATTTTAAAAAGGAGATTTTTTTTACCTCTTGTGTAATGATTTGAATGACCATCATATTTATTTTTCCAGCTTAGTTCCAACACTTGATATATTTTAGCACATAATTAAATTTTACTGTTTTACTGCCTCAGTTGAGCTTGAATTTTTAAGTTTAATGTAAAACAAAGGCCAGAGATGGGGACTCGTGACTCGGATTTGAGTCGCACTTAAGTCCCTACTATTAGAGACTTAGACTTGACTTGGACTCTAAAGACTTGAGWCTTGACTTGGACTTGTGTTTTGAGACTCGCGAAAAATGCAAGTCTTTTCACTGCCTGGCTCACGATTCTCACTCCCTCAGTACACATCCATGCTCCGTTCCTTTGAGAACAAATACATAAAGTTTTAAAAGCAAAGGCATTTACTCCTGCTCTCAAATTGAAAATATACACTCTTGATTAAAGTCAGAATAATTCTTCCATACACTCCGCTCCCCCTCACCTGAGAATGGGAGGGGCCAGCACCGTCCAATGTTAATGATGCGTACCCAACGTGACAAACAGAGCTTCAGCATGGCAGGTGTGTTGCAGCAAGCAGCTCTGCTGCCATTCATTATAAGCTTTGCTTACAGAGACTTTATTCAATGCCTTGACAAGAGACTGGCAAAATGCAAAGTGTGGAGTCCAAATCCAAAATTAGTTTTTGTGATGACTTTTACTTTAAGGATTCTGGTTCATCATCTTCACTGACATGCTTTTATGCATTTTAAAATATTTTTTCTTATTTGCATAATGAGGCAGAAATGCATAAGGTGAGACAACACGTGGAAATAAAGACTAAAAAAAATCATAAAAACTTGGAGACACAAATGTATCTACAAGTAAAAGGAAAAACAGAAAACAATATTTAAAAAAACGGTAACATTTAAATTATGTGCTAAAATATTTAATTTGTTAGAACTAAGCTGGAATAATAAATATGAAGGTCAGTTCAATGATAACATTAAAGTTCTCCTTTTTAAAATAAATTTATTAATTTTAAGTGTATTTATTTATTTATTGGTCCATTTATATATTGCTGCTTTTATTTAATTATGTCAGTTTTGGTCCTCCATACTCTCTTACAACACAGACTTTTTTACAACATTAATTTGATTAATGTTGATTGACAAACTGAGATACACTCAGCACAATTCAGAAAACACCTCACTGTCCTCACAGTTCATCCTGGTTGGATTCCGTGACCCGTCGCTCTGAATTAAGTCTCGTATCTCAGTATGATCTCAGATTCAGGGAGAAATATAGAATCGGACGTCCGGGTCTTTGTTAGACACCACGTGTTTGTGTGAAACTATCATGATCGGGCATGTTAATGAAAACAAGACTGTTCGATTTAAAATTAATTTGAAGCTGAGTTTATTGAAAAATTCACATGTTAAAAACAGGGAGAAGGAATTCAGATGCAGTCTGAAAAGGCACTTTCTTATAGATTTAAAAGCGTGTGGATAGATCTACAAGTTTGTTTTTTTCTGGTTTCATTCTCAACACAGCTGTGACTTCTGATCAACAATATTCAGTAGCAGTAACAAGTTGAATTTGCTGTTTTAATTCCTTCAAATAAGCTTAATAAACTTCTGACTTTACTGTTGATCTGTTTTGTATACGTTTGCAGTTATAATGGCAGACATATTGAACATCACATCCCATGTGGTTCCCCACCTGTTGGGAGAGCTCCCACTCTTAATTTTGTATTAAATATAATATTAAATCATGATGGACTGTAGTTTATGTGACGTGGAAACAAAGCAATTATCTGCATTTAATAGATGTCAAAGGAAAGTCTTATAACAATAATCTTTGCAGTATGTGAGGTTAGAGAAAAAACAAAGACTTGAATGTGTTTGGTCATTAGAACAGTCCAGCGTGTCGTCCACTCTGAGTCCTTGTTTACTCTGGTCTTTTTACCGGTGCCAGGCAGGGCGACCTACAGTAACCTCTGCTGACCAGGCCCTGTCCCACGGGAACAGAGGACAGTAATAGAACAAGCTTTGGCTTCCTCTGCTTTGCCAAAAATGTCCTCCTTTTCAAACAAGGAGGACCCAACAGATTAAAAAAAGCTCCCGAGAGCAGGGAAGTGAGCTGGAGGGAGGGTAGAGGAGTGTGTGTGTGAGAGAGGAAGAGATGGAGGCAGGGAGGGAGGAAGGAGTGAAGAGGCTCACAATGAGCCCCTTTGTGCAGCGAGGATGGGGCTCCCAGCTCTGCTTCCCTTCCCTTCACGCTCTTCCTGACTCACTTTCTTTCTCAGAGTTTCTTTTTGCATGTCTCCCCCACTTTTCCATGTCCCCCATCCCTTCCCCCCCATCACCCTTTCTTTGATAACTCTGCAGAGTCATGCACACATAAGTCTCCCTGAAGGCTAGCTGTGGCTGGGTGTTAGCCAGAGTCCAATGAAAGACTAGACATCCTCCATTCGTTTCCTCTGCCACCCCCCCACACACACACACACACACACACACACACACACACACACACACACACACACACACACACACACACACACACACACACACACTCTCTGTGTTTGTGTTTGTGACCATCCTCTCACTCTGGATGGACAAAGAGCTTTATTAACTCAGACACAGTGGAGAAAATGAAAGAATAAAAGAACAAGTGTGAGTTTGTGTGTTCAGTGTTTTGTTATTCCCAAGTGTGTGTGTGTGTTTGTGTGTGTTGGCAAAAGGGTGTCGGTTGGTTTGGAGCCTATAAATAGCCCCGTGTGGACCAGTAGGTCTAACTGCAGTTTTTACTGCACTGACTGTGTCGTAAGCTCAGCTAGGGACCAAATGGCTCAGAGAAGGTTGCTAGGCTGCACTGAGGTTTAAACACACACACTACTTTCACCCCTCGACACACACACACACACACACACCTACTATGTGTCTCTATCCTTGTGGGGTCTTTCCATTGACTTCCATTCATTTTTTGGTAATTGTACATCCTAACCCTGACCACAAACCCTAAGGCTAACCTCACAGGTACCTACCTGACCCTAAAACTAACCTAAACTCGTTTCGCACCTTGGTCCTAAACCCAAACCCCCACCCAAAATCAGCCTCCGAAGTTGTGGGGACCGGACTTTGGTCCCCACAAGGCTACATTTTCCCGAAAAATCGTCCCCACCGCAAAAACAAGGTCTCGGTCTCTGTCTCTGTCTCTGTCTCTCTGTCTCTATCTCTCTGTCTCTCTGTCTCTCTCTCTCTGTCTCTCTGTCTCTCTCTCTCTCTCTCAAACAAATACACAAATAAAATGAAAGGTAGCAGAAGAAGAATAAATCTTATATGTCTGCCCCTTTTATCCCCAGAATATATTCAAAGCAAACATAATTTACAAAACAATACTAAATAAGTCATAAAACTGTTCACAAAATTGGGAAAGTAAAAGTACTTTTCCACGCTCTCTAACAAATACTGTGAAATTTACTGAACCAAACTGGCTCCACAAAACCAAGTTGATTAAATTGGTCAATTTCTTTAAAATAAAATATGTCTATCGCCTCAAATTTTCTCTACTAGGTTTAGTGAAATAGTTGATATGATTTAGTTGAGTAAATTCAACACTTAATTTTTAGAGCACATAAACATCTCCTTTCATGAGTTCAGACAGATTTAATTTGCAACAAGTAACTAGGTGTTAAAGTGAAGTAAAAGTATAATTTTTAGGTTTTAAATGTAACTAAGTAGAAGTAAAAGTCACAATTAAAAAAAACTACTTGGTAAGATTACAAATCCTCAAAAAAACTACTTAAGTACTGTAACAAAGTAAATGTACTAAGTTACTATAAACTTCTGACCATGGCCCATATTTAGCTGTCAGTCTGCCCATGGAAATATTTTTTGAAAAAAAAAAAGGTTTTTCTTTTTTCTAAGTAATGTTCTTAAAATAATTTGAATTAATAATAATTATTTGACATTTTTCTCTCCACCTCAGATCACCAGTTACCAGCGACAGAGCCAGACATAAACAACCGCCTTGAGTCTCTGTGTTTGAGTATGACTGAGCACGCCTTAGGAGGTACGTTTTTCACTTGTCCCATCTCTGACTTGTTGCTCTGCTTCATGCCTCTGATTACACTGTTTTAATTAAACAGTGTTGGAAATATTCACATCCCATTTTTCTGCCTGATTCTTTGACCTGTCTCATAAGAGTTTTTTTTAGTTCAGTTTTTAGTGCATCTGTACAAACCCTTGAGCTGATGACAGGTTATTTTGCTGCTGTTTTAATGCAAATTTACTATTTCTTGCTTTGCATGAAGCGTGTTTGATGGTCCGCCTGTTACTTCAAATATGTAACCACCTTCCCATTGGAAAAAACTTGCTTGTGATCCAATATGGCAGCTTTCAAGGTGGCAGCCATGTTCCGGACATACCCTGAAAGAAATGGGGTCTCCCTCACCCATTACTTGAAGGGGTGTTCAGATATTTCATTTTCCCATTCATTTGTGAATGGGAAAAGTGTATTTTGCAACAGTAGAGACAACCCTCAGCTCCTATAAGGTTCTAACTATTTCTATCCACACTGAGAAAAATATTTTTGAAGAAAGAAGTGTGTAAATTCAATTCAGCTTTACTGAAGCASCAATCACTTCCTTCTTGTTGTCTGATGGAGCAAGTGGCTGGTTTGATACAAGGATCTTAACTTTAAACTCTGGTAAACTGGAAACTAAGAGTCCAGCCATGAATCATAATCAATGTAAACTAGTTTCATTTATTAACAACTGGATGTAAAAACAAGAAGTTAATGTAACTTTCAGTCTGTAACAACTTTTCTTTTCAAGTGTGAATTACAGACTGAAGACAGGGATAATATACTTGACAGTACACTGTATACACATTCTGTTAAAAACATTTATGAGAATGTTCATTGATGGAAAAGCAACACTTTGACAGTGCTGTAAAAAGTACCTCAAAGTGATACTTGAGTAAAAATACAAGTGTCTTATCATAAAAATACTTTGGTAAAAGTGAAAATCTTCTAAGTATATTACTTGAGTAAAAGTCTTAAAGTATCTGATATTTTTTGTATTTAATTATCAAAAGTAAATTTCTGACACAAAATCTACTTAAGTATTAAAAGTATTGAGTAAAAATGAGCAGTTAGATTGTCCAAAATCACATTTATTAGGAGGTGACTTCTCCAAAAATCATTTTTTCTAAAGGTGTGCAGCTGCGATGGGTTGTGTACAAACTAATACAGTGTCAGAATGGTATTTATACTCCTCATCCAACCACAATTAATTTCACTCTTTTCAGGAGACACAATTTATCAGAATAGTATTTTTAAAATAATAACAACCTGGAATGAAATAGCAGCAACGACTTTATACTTCATACCTTTTTTTAAAGATGTAAGGAGTAGAAAGTACAGATAATTGTGTAAAAATGTAAGGAGTAAAAGTAGAAAGTAGGCTGAAAAATAATTACTCAAGTAAAGTAAAGTACAGTACTTTACTTAAGTACAGTAACAAAGTATTTGTACTTAGTTACTTTACAACTCTGCACTTTGACACTTGAGTTAAAGCCTTAAAATTTATTGATGAACATTTCAAAAAATAGAACAGGTGAAGCCTAGCTGTTTTTTTGTTTCAACAATGTGAAATAGTTCTGGTAATATTGTAGAGGAAACTTTACTTTTTCATAATAAACCTGTCCACCAGTGCATAACTTAATAACAGCTTCAGCCACAGCAGAGATTACAGCTGCCAGACTGTTTTCCTCTGAAAGGCTCTATCAGTATTTTCACAGATGTGCTGTTCTCACCATGAGTGTGGGCCCCGGCCCGGCCCGGCCCGGCCCCTCACTGATCACCACATCAGTAAACTGAAGCTCATACTGACCAAATAGGAAGAGCTGGTGAAGGAAACACACCAGCGGACCTACGGCGTGTCTGGACAGAAGGACTTCAAAATAAAAGCGGCACAACAAAATAAAGCAAAGCTAAATAGACTAAAAGAGTTTGTGGAGAACAGTGGAAGAAGTTGGGTACAGAAATTAACCAGAAAAGTGGAACTTGCACCATCTGAACAGAATAAAACAGGGTTGTAATGAGATAAAAAGACCAGAGCGCTCGGTGTGGTCCAGCCTTTTCTGTACGTGTGTTCAATGTGGCAACACAGCTGGAGCCTGTCCCAGCATGCACTGAGTGCTGTAGACAGGGAAACAGGAAAGGTTGGTTTTTCCTCTTGACTCCACACACTAGCCGTGTTTCTGTCCAATTTTAATTCAAATTTTGAGTGAATTTTAAAAAGTTCGCAAAAAGGAAAAAGCAAATAAATGCGAATCAGACGTGTTTCCATCAACTGGCTTGAAGTGAGTCAGTTACGTCAGACACGTGTAGTAAACAGGAAGTAAAAGTCACAAACTCTGTGTCCACACATCTCTGGACAATGGAGAGAAGTTATCAGGAACGCAGAACTTATTCGGCTAATGTGTTTCCATCTCTCCTTTTGCGCATTAACTCTTTCTAAAAACTGAAAAACCACCTCAAGCGAGCGTATCAACTTCTTTGCGTATTAGAGGAAGTTTTTTTGAACCGTACTGTTTCCATTCACCTTTTCTGATGCAATACTTCAAAATGTGCTTTAAGAAGCGTTGATGGAAACACGACTACTGACTGTGTGTGGGTCCACATAAAACCGTGTGTGTGTTTTCTCTCCTCAGACGGTGCTGACCGCACATCCACTATATGAACCTGGAACCTGGGTGGGAGCAGCGGGACACTGCAGGTTTCACGGGGCGCTCTCTCATTTGGCCACCTGAGGGTCACCAGTCCTCCCGCACCCCCACACTCTCCACCTCCCTGTAGAGCTCAACCAAAGGACCAGGCGGGATCCAAGAAACACAAGCAGGTCGGTCGTCAAACGGCTCACAAACAAGCCATCACGTCGGGAAACAAACGCACTTCCTGCTCCGCCGGCACGATCATGTCTGCATCTGAGGATGAAAAGCCTGAAAACGTTGTTGGACAGAGCGAACGGCTCCTGGGAGAGGAGTCGGTGCTGCCTGTGGATCAGGTCTCAAAGCCCCCAGCCCTCACCCCGACACCAGCTGCCCCCCATTCACTGACAGAATCATCGTGGAGTCGTTCTTATTCATAACGTTACCTCAGACCACGAGACCAGCAGAGCTGCAAAGACTTCCTGACTGACTGAACCACCAGCACAGATGTGTGTAGAGGTCACTTCAGCCTCTCGTTCAGTATTGGGTGATTTAAAAACAAAAGTATTTACATTTCATGTATTGTTTACATAAAGATGCTACTTTCAGAGGGTACAGAAATGTGTTCATGTCAGGTAGTGTTCTGTTCCGTAAAGCCTTAGCTTTCTATCCCACCAGTAGCCATCACACTAGTTTACAGCTGACGTGCTTATCCTTTATCCTAGCAGGAGACGAGTAGTTTGACTGAGAGCAGCAGGAGGAAGTAGAACAGATGTGTGGAGGGGAACAACAGGAGGAAGGTGATACAGAGAAGGACACAGAATGTAGCAGAGGAAGCTGAAGTGATGCTGAGAGGGGAAGCGGATGTTTTAAAGAGAGACATCAGAGGCAGGCCCTCTGAAGATGATGTCATGTCTGATCATGTGAGTGACTTCAGGTGGAAACTGAATTGGTTACGTTCATCTACGACTCGTACTGTATGAACTCTTGGAATCAGAGTCTTTGCAGGCAAATACTTTATTATTATTATTTTTTTAATGTGTGTTTATATGACACGGTGGGATCTGTCTGCGTGTCCAGACACAATAAATCTGTCAGGAAGCAGGAGCAGCCTGAAACTTGGAGAGTTGAGTCGGACGAAGCGGGATGTGGATTTAATTTCCACTCGGTGTCGCTGTGAAGGCAGACTAGTCTCAGTTCATGGACAGTTTGTCTTAGTGCTTACCTCCACCTGCTGGACACGTGCAGTCGTTGCAGGCAGATTTAAGGCAGATCATTGAGGACAGCAGGAGAAATAAGGCAACCAGCATTTTCAGAGATACTGCTGGTGAACTCAGTTTTGTTAGACTATAGTTGTTTTTTTAAATTGTGAATCGTATGGTTATTTTGTGTCTTAATATTTATCCCTTGTTGCTTGTCTGGAATAAAGACGTGTTAAGAATTAGTTTTATTTTGAAAGGAGATGGTCAGGCACCTCTGTGCTGCTTTCATCACGCACCTGAGTCCTGACCTCCAATTGTTCTTTTTGGGTGTTTTTATTGTTTAGTGTCTTTCTGACCTTTTTTTGTAATTTTATAGTGTTTTCTTTGTGTTCTGCACTTGAGAATGTGATACATTAATCCATCAGCTTCAGCCCAGCACAGCTGCTCTTTGGAAGGAGGGAAGTGCGGGAGTCCTGTGATGGATAAAAACTTAGTGGTGAAACCACAGAGGTGAACTGAACCACACCTCTTGCATTGCAGAACTGATTTCTCTTTGAAGGTGTTCTGAGCAGAAAATACTCCCTTCGTTTTATCATTTTAGCCAAAGCTGAATCCTGACAGAGCTGAAGGATCAGACCAGAGTTTATGCACGTCTTAGTTTTCTTCCTCTGATTTGACTTTAGTAGATTTTAATTTAAAGCATTTATGTTTTTTTATATGAGAGTCATTTGAATAACATCAAAAAGTGCATCCATTATTAAATAAATGGGAAACAAAAGGTTTAAAGCCTGGCTTGACAAAGCCTAAAGCCCAACTAAGAGCTAACAGGAACTCATTTAAAACTTTCTACTCAAAATACATCCATCCAACAAATAAAATTTAAAGAAAAAATATAAAACTTTCCTGTCCCTGAGGCTTTATTAATGAAGGACAGCAGCTTAAATCTTTAACTGGAACTCATTTGTTGCATTTTCTAAAAAATAAAATAAGCAAGACATTGTTCTACAATGTAGAAATCACTTTACTGACCAAATCTTTTTTTGTGAAATATTCGTATATAGACTAATATTAGCCCTTTAATGAACCCCTCAGCAAAAGCAGCTAACGTATATAAAACTACTAAAACATTACTATAAATCATTAATGTGACAGTTCTGATGTCCAGACAAATGGTTATTTTCTTGTTTTTACAGCACTTTTAATTGCAGCTGTAGAGCTGCAGCAGGGACAACGGCTTGATTTGAACCCCAGCTGCATTATTATCCGTTATTTTGTGGATTTATTTGAAAAATAAATCCAGGTGTTTTTTTTTTTGTTTGTTTGTTTTGAGTTTGATTTTTCTGGTCGTTACTGGTCACAAAGAGCAGCTGCAGCATTCTGTAAACTCTGCAGTGACACAGCTCGGTGTGGGAGCTAAAACGTGCATAAACTCTGCTGTGGAGCTGCTTTCCTCACTGGTTAAATGTTCAGACGTGTTGACAGGGATTTGAACCTCCAGTCTGGACACACACACACACACACACACACACACACACACACACACACACACACACACNCACACACACACACACACACACACACACACACACACACACACACTACAGTAAACTGTACAGACACTTAGTAGCTGTGTGTTTTGTTGAGTTTGTAAAAGCCCATCCATCACCTGAGCGCCTGACTTCGTTGTAATCCTAAAGCAGAGGCTGATTCTCAGTTTTTCAGCATCACTGCCGTATGAATCAGTACTTAAACATTTATTTATTCTTTCTTTTTTTAATTTCAGAGCTGATACTGATCCTTCTAGGTGTTTCATTATTTAATGTACCGTATGTATTAACATGTTGTGGCTGGTGACCATACATACATCTCAAAAATTAACCTAGTGAGTGTTGTCGGAGTGTTTTTACTTGTTGTTGAGCTATAATTTGCATCTTTCAGCGTCATGTTGAGACGTCCGTTCTGCAGCTGTTTGAGTGGCGCTGCGAGCCGAGCCGGCTGCATTCTGTCAGAGGACCGYTCCATTTTAAGATGGATTGAATCAGGAGCATCAGAACATATCAAAWATTATCATCAGGCATCGGGCTCAACAGGTCAGAGTTGTATCTGAACAGTTTAAACTAATAGAGCCATTTTCAGGTGCTGGTTACTATTTCATTTTAAGTAGTGGCTAAATTGTGTTACACTCAGCATTGTGTGTAGGGATGCACCAGTACCACTTCTGTTCAAACCGTATACAAGTGTTTAAATTTGCTAGTACTGATATATAAACACTAAAAAATGTCATTCTACTTCTAACAATTACTGTTAAAATCAGAAAATCATACTCTGCATCTTCACGCCTCTAACAGAGCGAGGATAGTCGTCTTGTGTAAAACATCCCACTGATGAGTGGAGAGGTTTTTAGAGAGCTGCTGCTCAGATCTGCATTCTTTTCTGATAATAATAATGTGATAATGTGCCATGTATCATCAAAGCATGTCCCCATGCAGTGATGAGATCTGTGCTCTGCATTTGACCCATCTCGTGTATGTGTGGAGCAAGTGTAAGCACCTGTGGACCTTAGGGTCTAGGTGCTCGAGGACACCACGACATGTGGACTTGGCGGAGGATCAAACTTGTGATTTCTGGTCCTAAGATGATCCTGTTACTGCAGGCCCACTTTAAGCTGCTGGTGAGGCTGCACCTGGTCCTCCTTCCCTCAGGAGCTGGAGTCGGTGAGCATCCTCTCTGAGCTCGTCTTCTCTGAGCTGCTCCAAACAGTCCTGCCCGCTTCAGTGACTCTGACAGCTGTCAGTCAATCATCGAGGGYCACGCCCTAAAACTAGCAACACACTGTGATAGGTCAGCTCACGAGAGTGTGTGTTAGTGTCTTAGTTTGGGTCAAACATGCATCTAAAGTGATGAAAAACCGTTCAGCTCATCACCGGACCTCACAACAATGGCAAACTCTTAAAACTCTGCCTCTTTTTTTTCTATTACAATTTTTCAACTTTGCTGAGCTTTTGTTTTGTCGCCATCATTCACTGTGAAATAATCCCCCAAACACCTGAGCGCTCCACTGAGACGTGCCCGTCCCTCTGATTTAAAGTGATSTTTCAACACTTTTACCCATCAAAGTCTGTGTACACACACTTTATCAGACATGTATGCCTGATTCTGGTATTGGTGCATCACTAACAGAGCTGACAAAAGAAAAACAACAAACCTAAAACAACCTTTGAAACAGGTTTGGATTATACACTGACTGGAGTTTCATTTGTTTATGGGATGTGTTTGTAACTGTAAAGTTAAAAGATTTGTATTTTAGGCCTTCAGTTTGAGCTCCGCTGTTTTTGTTTTTTCTTTGCAACACTTCTGTGTGAAAACTGTTGCACGTCTCTTCAAACCAAATGGCTGTGCACGCGGCTGTAATAACGTGTAGATAATGCCTTAATATTCCAAAAGCATTTATTGTACTTTAAGACATGTATGCTGATTTTTGTTGTTGTTTAGTTGTTTCATAAATTGTGCGTTTTTAATCAGTTTTCATCAATATGGGATGCCGAGACTGGTTTTTTTTTTTTTGTTTTGTTTGTGTTAGGGCCTGACTGGGCTGCTTTTACTTCYTTTAGATTTATTTTATCAGAGCCGATGTCCTGTATTGACTGCAGGCTTACTTATATATGAAAAACAAACAAACAAAAAAAGATTATGGTATGTTTAATTAAAAAAAAGAAAATATACAAAAAGAAAAAAAAAGACTAGTTAAAAAAAAGAAGTGTAATTTATATTTTAAAGTTGCATGCACACAAGTGGGAGTCATATTTAGAATAACAAATGGCAGTGCCTTTCTCTTTTTATACTTGAGCCCAAATGTAAACCTAGTTTTTTATGGACAGCCGTGTTGGGTCACGTTCACGCTGCAGACCCAAACACCTCACGTGATCCGTGGGTTTCTTTTATCCTGAAATTATATTCCTGCTGGATTTGTATCAATATCTAGGCAGCAGATTGTTTAGTCCGAGAAATGTGGACTTGACTTTGTACAGAATATTTACYTCAATAAAGGCTCATTCATTCTTTCTTGCATTTGGTAAAATGACTAATCTTCACATTTTCACAGATTATTTAATTGTTCAACACGAGGCTGGGACTTGAAACTATTCCCTTTTTTCATTATCTGAGTTTTCACAACTAAATAATGAACAGAATGAATCTACTTTTGATTTTATATTTTTGTTGAACTCCCCTTTTTTTTATTAATCATCTCTACACTATTTGCAAGCATCTCTAATATTTTCTACAGGGAAGAGTTTTTAGTAAATGGTCTCAGCTGTGTTTTAATACAGTGAGGGCGTAAACACAAGCTTTACTCAAATCATTGCATTATCTTCTCAGCCCACATTAAAATAATCTTGGTCAAGTTTTAGATTTTTGCTTCGCTGAACAAACTTTTGATCCTTTTTGATCCCTGAGTTAAAGAGCGAGGCGTGCAYCCTGAACGTGACCTCAGCTGCCTGAGCTTCCTGCACATCACACAGCTCCTACCGGGGGGTGATTAGAAATTTCAGATTTATTCTGGTCTCTGCACAACCAGAGGAAATGTGAGGATGGAAGTTTGACAGTGAAAAACATGTAAAGATTTAATGTTTTGTGCTTTCGTTGCCATGTACCAGACTGATGTGATTTTGGCATGCCCCCATAAAAACAAACCAACAAAAACAAGTTGCTGTTGCGTTTGTCATTTTGTGTGATTCAGTCATCAAAACAAACAATCAAATAGTCTCTGAATAGAAAAAAAAATGTATTAATACCTCAGCCGAGGTTGTAGAATTTGGGTGGTGAGCTGGAAACATCTGGCAAAGCAGCAGCTCCGATCCATTCTGGCAGAAACTGAAAAGAACAGAGGAGGTCCAACATCTCAGACGACTCCTGCCAGTGAGCGCCTGGTGGTGGAGCCTTGGCTCCTGGAGCARGCTGGACACTTCAGTGAAGCTGCATAAACTTAAATAAGAACACTAGACTGAGCTCCGCCCACCCATCCACTGTTAGGATCTGTGACAGCATGGAGGAGCAGAAACAGAGACCAAACAGGGCAACAGCTCACAGCCTCCATAGAAACTAACAAACAGCAAGCTTAACCAGATCTGTTTCACAGATTATCTGTCATGTTTTTACAATAAATAAATAACTGTTAATTTAATTCAACAATCATGTAAAACAGCAGGTATATACCAGAAAAATATATAATTTATAAGCAATGATCTAAACC